GACAGTTGGAGACATGTAGAAAATTTTCTGGGAAAGAAAATAGTTTCTACAATAAAATGCTTTGACTGGATTTCATTTCTTAAAGAAACTCCACATTCCCTCTTGCCCATCACCAATATGCAACCAGAAATGACGTGCATGGAAAATGCTTCTTTCTTCTCTAAGAGCTCATGGTAAACCCAGCCTTATCTTCATTTCTTGACCAGAGCCCAAATATATCTTCCTTTTGCAAATATTTTTTAAATGCTTAAATATATCTGAGACTCAAAATTTATAAGTTAGTGGTATACTTATACTTTTTGTTGTTTTTAACATACTTTCTTCAAACTGAATAGTCAGACTACATGAAATCACATATACATGATTTGTGAAATATGTGAATGTCCATTACTTGGCTTCAGGTGAAACTCTTTGCCCTCCCAGACAATACCGTTACGCTTTAGCTTACTAGATTAACTGGTTTGAACATTCCTCAGTCAGTAGTTCCCCAATCTGAAACTGTCATTGAACAAGTGGATGTGCACTGCTGCATTATATCATGAATTGTTTTCTTTTTTCCTCCACAATAGCTTTGTGTCAACATGACCAATGAGAAGATGCACCACTATATCAATGAAGTGCTTTTTCTACACGAGCAAGCAGAATGTGTACAAGAGGGAGTTACCATGGAAACAGCATATTCTCCTGGTAACCAGACTGGAGTTATGGATTTTTTTTTCCAGGTATTCATATAATATAATTAGATACTTAACAGGATACACGCATTTAAATATACTTGGGACAAAGAATTTTCTTTCAGGAGGCCTTATTTTTGAGAAATCTGCATATATAAGATTCTGCAATGTATTTACAGTCTTTCAAACTCTGTTGAGAAGCAGAAGTTATCTTTTTTTGAAAGTGCATTTGAAGGATCACCAGCTCATTAAAAGGATAAGAAATATCAGATCATTTTGATATGAAAATATTAACATTACTTATTCAACATTACTAAAACTCTCATTTGTCAGTTACAAGTGCCCAATGCAAAAAATTGACATTTGATAAAATAATACCTAAAGTTAATGATATCGAAAAATAGATTCAACAGAATTTTTTTATTTATCTTCAATGTTTTTAGGATTTAAATTTGGAAAAATTGGCAGGAAAAGCATGTACACACATATATAATATTTGGTTAAATTAAGAGTCTTAGGGCATCTGCAGTTGTTTATACTTATCTTTATTCTTTCTACTTTACGATGAAAAAATTTTAACTGCAAATCTGTGTCATATAAACAAATACCTATCATTTAAACAGCAATCCCTATTTACTAATATAGGAAGATATTATATGAATTTACCCACAATATCTCTAAAACACATAGACTTTGTTTGAAAGAGACACCATTCAACTATTAAGAGAGCACAGTATTTCATTTTTTACTCTTTATTTCTATAAAGGTATATTTCTAAATTAATTTTATTTTATGCATTTTCTTTATGCTGTAACATACTCTTGTTCTTGCTACTGACTTGTCAACATTCTTTTTTAAAAAATTAAAGCCAAAGCCCTCTTCCTCCAGAAAGCCCTCATCATGATACATATAGTGTATGATTTATTTATTGAAGGTTTAAAAATGTCATCAATAGGACAGAACTGTATACTGGATTGTACATGGAAAGCCTCAGGTATCTACCAACTTCATTCCAGCCCACTGTGCTATCCCTGACTGCTAAACAGTGGTCATCGGAATGAACATTTACATAGGCCTTATTTATACATCAGTGATTATACATTTGTCTTACATCCTAGAGGGGAAGGCTTGATCCAGATTTTTACCAAATTCTCCACGTGTCTAGTACATCTTGTTGTACTCTACAGTATTTGATGCCTCTTGTTGTTAAGATGAAAGTGCATATGAGAACTGTTCACATACAGCAAACAATTCAATCTTTCCAGAGCCTTTACTGTTAAAGGCATTAAAGACTGTTAATCCTTTTCTTATGATTTAATTATTTTTTTGTGTTCTACTTTCTGCTTCAGATATTTCAACAAGTTTTCGAAGTCTAGAAGGTTAATTACAGCCATTCTTTTATGGCTTTATTTCAAACATCCAGAAGATACAATACACATGATTTTTTAAAATTTGGAGACAATAAAAATTATAATGCTTAAAGAATCTTGCTAGTAACCAGCCACCTCATCCTTGGAGAATATTATCTTGCTTTTTGGAGCAGAGTGGTTTAGCTCTCTTTGAATTAATTGATGTCTTTCCTTATACTAATTAGGGAACTTGTCTTTGAATTACTGCCACACTCATTAAAGAAAGGTTTTCCCAAACAAGAGAACATTTCACCCCAAACAAGAGGCCTGTCACTGCCCCTGAAACATGAACACACTTGCAGACAGCCTTGTAATAGCTCCTCTGTCCTACTGCCTGTCTGTATGTCCTTGTGCGCGTGGCTGCGTTTGTGTGTGGCTGTGTGGATATGTGATAGCATATAGAGGAGTTATCATGACATGATGCTCGGATTGATAGATGACAGAATGATTTATGACATTATAATATCAACATTTTACTTACTCTTTAGCAAATAGCTTGC